GTAGGACTGTCTGTGAAATATAAGAGGGGGAACGCAGACAACAAGTCGCGAGCTGGAGTCAGAACAAGACAGTGTATTTGAATATTAAAGACAGGGGGCTGGAGCAGAGTACAGAGGTGTGTGTGTGGATGATATAAGAGATGCAAGGAGACTGTGAATTGGAAAGGCTGAATAGACAAGGCCAAAAAAGTGCTGCGTCAGGACCTTTCCGCAGCAGTAGCCAGAGGTGATGAGCCTTTAGCTTCCATTCAAACACATTTCATTGAGCACAGGGATATGGCAGTGTGACAAGACAGAAAGAGATATTAGCATGAGAGGAGGAGTGCTTAACTGAACCAAACATTTGAGGTGTTCCTCATTTTCTGCATCAAATGACACAGATTTGAGAATATTACCGGATATTACTTCAGAAAATTAAACTGTTTTACGCACTGATTTTATTGTACTCAGATTTTACTAAGATGTTGTAAATTTGATTTAAGACATGAATTATCAAGTTAAATTGCCTTTTCTTTCACAGAGAGATAGTTATGCTAATAACCTGGCAATACTGATGTTAAAGGTGGACTGTGTAACTTTTATATTGGATAGTATTTCCAATGAAATGTTATAGCTTAGCCTGTAATTTCCTTCTACTGTATGTAGCATTAAATGTATCAGATGATCCCACCAGGCAGGCCAAGTGACAGGTCAGATCTGTGGAGAGGTGACCCTGCTATTACATGCAACTGTACAGTGACCAGATAGTTCCAGTTTTGACCCCTGTGTCCAAGCAGATTAATCTAAAACCAATCCAGAAATGTCCAGGTTTCCCTATTTTGGACTAACTTGATCCCTGCCAATGACAAAGAAAGGAATATACTGTAATTTGTTTAGCTAAAATCCACAAAACCATGCTGAAAAATGACCATAAGGCAAAACAAATGGACCAAAACAAGTCCATCAGATCATGACTGACCCACAAGTGAATCGAGAATGGACAATGTTACGTGCTCACAGTTTTATTTATACAAACTGTCCCAAATCTGGTGTGTCCCAGTTTGGGATTTGGAAAATCTGGTCACCCTATTTGGTGCTAGTGATTGTTACACCATGATTCAATCCTGCTGAAATCAACAGAGGAAGCAAAATACACAGGCACATGTAAAAAGAAATTGGAAAAGGAAAAACGAGGGGCTGAAATAGTATAAGTGGAGGAGATGATCCCACTTTCATATTTAGCCAAATGTGTTGCTGCAAATTGGTCTTACAGGCACATTTTTTTTTTTTTTTTGCAAATAATACTTAGTAGCCTACTGCAGAGGTTATGGCGGTTTATTTTATGATCTTATAATTACATCTGGTCCAAGATTGGGAGGTTGGAATCAATAAAGTGACCATAGAGGATCCATTAAAATCTTGGATGTTTTACACAATAAAGTTTTCCTGGCACATTTTCAGTCTGTCTCCCCTGGCGTTGGCAAAAGTCCTGAGAACTCATTGCTGTGTAGTTTGTTTTCTTTCCCAAAAACTAAGTGCCACAGGCTAAAGTTTAATGAGCTAATGAGCTAATGATCCGGCTACAACAGCGAGCTATAGGAGCACAGCCACCTAGCGCTACACTAGTTCAATGATAAACTACAATATTTAGCTGGGGACTTGACAAAAATAAATGCAGTTTGCCTTATTTATTATTACTTACTTCATGTCTAGAGTGAATGGCTGTGGTGGCTTTAAAGGCACTGTAGGCTAACAGATTTTTAATGTTTTGAAGGATCCATATTACACAAAATTTACTTTTGTGAGCTTTAAGCCATATTAGCATGTTGTTACCTCCTCAAACACATACTTGGAGTTGTGTTTTCTTTCATTCACACATGTTTCAGTAATCTTTATTAGTGTATTATCAGTGTGTCTACATCTCCAAAGCTCAAAATGCTCTGTTCCTCCTTGTGATGTCATGAAGTGGTAGGTTTCAAGTTACATTTTACGTTTTGATCAGTAGAGATTGGCTATTATACAAATTAAATTAGTGTTGGTGTATAGCAGAGGTAGGACCAAGTTATTGTTTTGCAAGTCTCAAGTAAGTCTCAAGTCTTTAACCTCAAGTCCAAGTCAAATCCAAAGTCAAAAACAGCTTTGAGCTTCAAGTCATTTGAAGTAGATTTTTGCAATTTATATGGATTTTAAACTGTACTTAAAAGTCCTGGTATATTTATATGTGAGTATTTATATAAAAGTTGTAGAAATGTTAATTTTCCCTTTTTAAATGTCTTGTTAAGCTCTTAGTGTGAATTATTATGGTCAGAATAGAAAGAATTCAGATTTAAAAGGGCTAAATGACAGTTATTTTGTCATGTTATATTGTCCTGTGTCTGAAATGGAAGGATCATGTCTATTTAGTTCCCTTTGTTTTACTGTATATTACTGTAGTACATTTAAGGATATCATGTCAGAGTACTTAAGGTACATCCAAAGTAACATGCTCTAGTTTGTTCCTGTAAAATTAAGCACCACATGTATCAACTGAAAAGAGACAAGTATTTTCTAGAAACATATTTTTAGAAGAAACATCAAGTCTTCTCAAGTCAATGTCATTGATTTGATGCTCAAGTTATTGAGCATCAAGTCCAAGTTGAGTCCCAAGTCTTAGTCCATTTTAACAAGTCAAGTCTCAAGTCCTAAAAATAGTGACTCAAGTCTGACTTGAGTCCCAAGTTACGACTTGCAGGTCTGGTGTATGGAGTTTAAAAACACAGTGGAGCACTTCCTATATAACCACGTGACATCACAATGCAGAGTGTTTTCCATTTGAGAGAAGAACTTTGTGTGTTGAACGTGTGAATGAAACAAAACACAACTCAAGGTATGTTTTTGATGAGATACCAACACTATAACACACAGAAAATAGCCTAATATAGGATCTTTAAAAATGGGAAAAACAGAGCTAGTTCATTTTAGACTATTTGCTATGGTCCAAAGTTAAGAATCCCATTTTTTCACACATTCTAGCACTGCTGTCATAATAATGTTAATATTAACAACTAACATGCTAACACAGCATACAGCAGTCTCACTCTGAACTGAAGAGCCGTTTTTACAATATATATCTGCACTATGGGACAAAACAAAATTTATTCAGCTTCATGTAAACAACACTTTAAATTCCCAACACAGATCCGGGCAGTAAACACATCGCTCATTAATTTATTGCTCTTACGTTCTTTGGGACAGCGGTAGAATAACAGGCTGATTTAGATGGAGGGGTAGATGTGGTAGCACAATGAGTCATTATCAGAGTAGAGCAAACAGTGGACAGATGGAGACAGTGAAATTTTCATCACACATTAAAGTCTCAATGGGAACTCTTCAATAGTGACACACGTAACTCTCCCCTTTTGGTTTTTGCCCTTGAAGTAACTTTTCTACCTGCTGTGTAACACGAAATTAACTTTTGGAGGATGAGAAAGACAGAGTGGAATAACAAGACAACAAAATGGCCACCACATGAAGTATTGACACTTTATCCACAACTTTCTTTAGTTCTTAAAAATTATCTTTACTTGTAGCTGATGTCGTCAACATTCCCTTGAGGTGTGATGCTAACTGAAAGCATTGCTATGTCTGAAGCTCTGTTACTGAAATTAGACTTAATCTGAGCTTTGTTTTAAAACATTCTGACCAGGAAGAACTGACTTGGTTGGAACTACAACTGGTGAGATGTTTTCAAATCTCCCACATGTAAAATTACAGCCACAAGCTAGCTAGCAGTCACATTCTTGTTCAAACTCCCGAACAGGACCATGACCGCTCGTTTTGATCACAAGCTCCTGCAAAGTTGCTGTTTAAATCCATTTTGTATTTTTTCTTGAGTTTTCAGTCTATATTAAAACATTTTTGAGGGTGTTTGCGAATGTGTGCATTGTGTCACCATGGTAACTGTTGAATATTCCACCAATATACAGTAGATACATGTAGAACACCCCCTGCATGATGTTACTGTAAAGCGTCAGTAGCCTTTGTGTATCCTACTACTGAATAATAATGACAAGGGGTTTGTTAATTGTGGTTCTGGTGACACTACTGGTTAAATTCTAGTTTTATTTGGGTCCACTTGAGTTATTGGTAATGTGATCCTGTTAGTCTTGTTTCAGTCCTGGTTTGATCTGGTCTGGCTCTGGACCAACTTTAGTTCTGTGGTAGACCAGTTTGAATCTCAAAATTTGTTTTGCTTGAAACCTGGGGAACCTGATTTTGAATTGTAAATGGAAGAAGTTGGAAAAGGAAGAAGTACTGATTAAATCTATCTAGTTCCTGGCTCTTACAATAATTCACAAATTTCCAAGAGAAATGTATACTGCATGTTGCCATTTTCATTATTAATTGAAGCATTTGTACAGTCTTGTAGTAGTAATGAGTTTGTATTAAGATTTAGACCTCTGCTAGTCTACATGTAGGCTTATTAGTCTATATTGAATTATTGATCCATGCTGTACCAATGGTCCACAAACATATTTCTCGATCTGTGACGGATGTGTCTCAGTTGGTGGCTACATTTACAAAGAGCTGTCACCAGTGTTTGCTTGTTATTATTAATTGTATTTGACAGACTCTATTTCCTTTACTCTCCACGCCAACTGGAAACATCTGTTTTCCTTTTAAACCCTAGTTTCTGCCACAGGGATACTTCATGTACAGCTGCCAGCAAAGAATAGGCTTCTTCTTCAAGCAATGCACGTGCACATGTTTTATATTAAACTATACAAGGCCTATTACGTCAAATAGTGCTTATTTATAGTAAATAACTTGGTTCTATTAGTTACTTTAATCATTTACAGTATTTTTACCATTCCCATTGGTCTCCTTGACAGATGAGAAAACAGTGTATTAATCCTGGATAACATGGAGTCCATAGAGCCTCAACTTGTTTCTCAAGTCATCATAATACTATCAATTTAGAAGAAACATGTGTTCTTTTTCAAAGAATTCATTTTTCACATCAAACTGGATGACACACTTACCATTATACAGTCTGTTGGTATGTTGGTGATTACATTCCTCGCATACAGGTTAGCAGTAAACTCCACTCTCTGAGCTTCTGATGGAGCTGTTTACTTCCTGTTCCAAGCAGATAATTACAAATTAATCACAGGCTCAAACTGGTTACCACACACTGAACATTGAACAATGAACATTACATATTGCTCTATTTCCAGAACACTGTATTAGTTGGTCATGAACATATGACAAAAAATGGCAAAAGTAGCATAGCATCTCAAACATTTTCAATTTCCCTTTCTATTGTTGTTGTGCATTACATTTCCAATCACATTCACATTCTTTACCAGACCCACTCCTCTTGACTAGAATGGATATATAAAAAACCTTCTAACACTCACTAAAGGGTCATTTTCACAGTTCCTCCTTTGAGAAAATCAAGGACGCATGAAAAATCCTATAACCACAAGCAGGTGTTCTGTATGTATATGCTTACATTTTATTGAATGGAAAGCCCACTGGATTATCAGGATCCATGTATATGTGGAGACACGAGTTTGCTGGGGTTGTTTAGAAATATAGGCACGCAGCAGAGATCTTTATCCCCTACAGAAATCACACACAGTATATCTTACATTACTGAGCCAAATCATATGATAGGATCTTATATCGATTTGTCTTCCATCAAGTTGCCACCGGCTACAGTTAATTTCACTGCACACTGAACATGGAGCATATGGGCACTTGACACACACCAGTTATCCTTCTGGGAGTTACACAAACACTGGTTTATGTGGTCTAAGGTTAAAGCATTTTTTCTGCTTAAGTCATTCCATTAGAAGAAAACTATTACCAATTATAAATACGATTTCTGCACACTCTACCTGTGCAAAGAACCCTATTTATTGCTTTTATTGATCAAAAATACCTTGAAAAACAGTTGCATTCGTACTGTGGACGAGGCTGTGTCTAACCAGATTGTGTAGACACACTATTCGTAAATTAGTCTCTACCTTTGTGTTCTGTTTACTGCAAAATCCCAAGCACTTTATATGTCTTCTGTGTATATACAAAATTTATAAAGTGATGTATAATGTATAAAAATGTATAAAGTGATGTATAATATAATGTAAAAATAAAGAAAAAAAACATTTAATGAGATGGTGTGTCCAAAGTTTTTGAATGATGGTGTATGTTTAATGCTACAAAAAAATCCAGGTGCACCTTTAACATCAGTTGAATTGATTGCTATCATGAAAGCCAACTGAATAATAATAATAATGTACATATATGTCGAAATTCAATGCCATACTGTAGAACATTCTAGGCTAAGAAATAACGTCTCCATGAAGCAGGTTGCGGACCCTCCTCCAGAATTACTGCACTTAATTTAATTAAAATTAAGTGCAACTTGAAGCAAGTTAGTACTAAGATGAGCTGCACTGTTTAGAATGTCACCTGATCACTCTTTTGACGTTCTTAGAAGTGAAGATGTAATTATACAATATTACATTTTTACATTACATCTTGAAAGCCTATATTTAAGACAATATATACAATTTTATTTGGGTGATATAGCACTTTTGTATTCATTTCTATTACCCACACCTGGGCTGGCTCTGTGCGTCTTGTGCAGTGTGGTATTCTGATAGTGTTACCAGTCGTGTGTAACGGCTGAAATTGTATTTGCTAATGGAGCCTTTTTGGGACAAGCTGCTCAGAGTGAAACACACAGATCTGACCTGAGATAACACTTTTGTTTGCTGGCATTTTTTCCACTGTTGCACCTAATTCATCACACCTTTGGACTGTGCCATTTGCTCTCTATTAAAGTCACACAGCATAAAAATGGTTTGTTTCTACATAGTTTTGGCCTGGTTCTCAGATCAATATTAGCAGTGTTATCTTGGATTCATGTGAGTAAGACATATAGTTTAAAGGTCCTATATTACGCAAAATTGGCTCCTGTGAGCTTTAAGACATATTATAATGTTGTTACCTCCTGAAGTTGTGTTTTGTTTCATCCACACATATTTGAGCAAGCATTTATTGCTAGTCTGTCTACATCTCCAAAGCTCCAAATGCTCCATTCCACCTTGTGATGTCATGAAGCAGTAGTTTTCAGTTTAAAAGCTACTTTTTACCTTAGAGACTGGCATTTCCAGGATTGAAATGATCAAAATTATTTTAGTATGGAGTATGGAGTTTAAACGCATAATGGAGCACTTCTCAGCCTAAATATGCAGGGTTTTTGTGTTAAACATGTGTGAATGAAACAAAACACAACTCCAGGGATGTTTATGATGAGGAAACAAAATTATAACAGAGATCAGAAAATAGCATAATATGGGCTCTTTAAACGTTACCACTTGGGGAAGTCCTATGGGTCTACAATTTAACTAAACCATCAGTTGCTTGTATTTGCTCCATCAGTCCAGAAAAGCTGCCGTTATAGAACATATGTTGTCACATCTGGTTCTGATAAGCAACAGCAAGAACACAACACGCAGACTGCATATTCATTCACACAACAGTGGTTTCTGACATACTCTCAGTAACTGAAGAGAGATGAGAAGAAAGAAGAAGTGAGAAGCAACTGGCTCACAGCAAAGAATCTTATTTTATGCCCCTCTAGCAAAACTAACACAATAGGTATTACACAGATGTTAAACCATGTATACCAAAACCAACTTCACCATTAAACAGGTACTATGTCAATTTTTGTACTTTTACAATAACAACCTGCAATTTAAATGTTCTGTATTACACAAAATTGTTACCTCTTCAAAAGCATGCATATACCTGCATATACAGTACACACCTGTGTATTGTTTCATTCATACATGTTTCAGTACCATTTATTATTAGTCTGTTTACATCTCCAAAACTCAAAACGCTTTTCAAGTTTTCAAGTTAACAACTTTTACTTTTTGTTCAGTAGAACAAGTCAGCAATTCCAAGGCTGAAATTATCCAGTGCTTCCCACAGCACTTTCTAGCCTTGACAACAAGTGGCCCCTGCCTTGACTACATCCCTCTGAACCAAAATTATGGTTGTCGCACGCAATACCCCCCCACCTCACTTTTTCTCCGTGTACATCATCTCCACTGTTATCCAAATGATTCTCGTAAAGGTGTATGGTACCACATGACATCACAAGGTGGAACAGAGCGTTTTCAGTTTGAGAAAAGAATGCAGCCTAAATATGTAGGATTTGTGGGTTAAACATGTGTGAATGAAACAAAACAAAACTCCGGGTATGTTTGTGATGAGGAAAACATTATGATAATAAAAAATAGCATAATATGGGCCCTTTAATAAAATAAAGGTAGGTTTATACCTACCTATCCACCTTTAAATAGTGTACAAATAATCCATTGTCACTTGTTAATAGCCCCATGTTCAACCATTTAAGCCATTACCATAAAATATTTTACACTATTTTTTGCATGCTCTGGTGTTCCATAATTTGAAGTTGTGTACAGTTACAAAATGTATTTCTTTTTATACTTTGCAGCTGACATCAACAGTCCCTGGGTGTGTGATGCTAACTGCAGGCGCAACTCTGTCAGAAGCACTATTCAAGTCAACTCTTCAAGTAAGAAAATCTGACCAGAAAGATTTGATTTAGTTAGAACTACAGCAGGTGAGATGATTTGTGCTGTTAAACAAGTCTCTCACACATAAAATTACAGTCACAAGCTAAGTAGCAGTAGCCAGCAGTTTTTCAGTTACTTTTTCTAGCTGATAAAACACCTAAATGGGACCGTGAATGCTTGCATTGATCACTGAAAATGCATTGTTTATATCCATTTTGTACACTTTCTTGAATTTCCAGACCATTTTTTAACATTGTCTGCTGATGTGTGTCTCCATGGTGACTGCTGAACATTCCCAGAAATACATGCAGAACACCCCCAGCATGATGTCACTGCAAAGTATCAATGAGTTCAGTAATAGAGGAGCATGCTTAAATAATTGCTAACCACACTGACTCTCTCTAAAGTAATTCGCTCGTCTACGCATAATCAAACTTGTGCTATTTTTAGAAAACTCAATTTTTACAATTACTCATCACAGAAAGTTGAATTGAGCCACTACTTTGAACTAATGTAAAAAATGTTATAATATGAGGAGTCCTAATCACCCACATATGGCAGTGATAACTCTGCAGTTCATCCAATTTCTCCTGTTTTATTTCTTATTGGAAAAGCCCTGCGGCGTTTCTATGAAGAAAAATGGAGTTATACGGCTGTGGAATCATCACCCTTTCTCTGCTTCCAGATTATTATGCTGTTATTGCCATTCATACATATAGCAAAATGAGGCGTCCTCTCACCTCAGCGGTAATTGAAAAGGTCTACATCTTTCTTTGGCTGTGGTCATACGATTTCCCATTAGCCCCACACTTGGGCAGTAAAATGAGTTGTCAGGCTTCCCAACTGGAATTACACAAGACAACCCCATCATTGTAATTTAACATTGTCACAGTCTTAATATTACAATGCGTGTGGCAGTGGAGATAGCAGGAGGTAGTGATGATATTACTGGAATAGGGAGTGTGTGTGGTGACTTTAAGTTCATGGTTAAAATAATGAGGGTCGAAGGTGAATTAATATTTTTGGGGTGGCTGCAGTGAATACATGAATGTGAATGAAAAGTTGTTCTGAATTTTATGCCCACAAAATCTATGCATATTTTAAAATGTGATGAGGTTTGAGTCATTCGTCCGGGGAGTTGTGGCAGTAACCCTTAGCACATAACTTGGTCACTGCTGAAAAAATCTTATTTCTTATTTGTAGGTTTAAATCTAGGCTATTTAGTGTTACCATAGAAATAATGGGCAGAAATAGATTATAATAAATACATTTGCACTTACAAACTATAAATCATGCAGATGCCCACTGGTAACAAATCTGGTTAGAAAAAAGGAACAATGACCCGTTTCTGTAATCTAATTAATGTAGCTGAGTTTATTTCTCAACAGAAAACACACTGTGGTAATACAGTAAGTGCCCTACTGTATTTTTAAACTCCATACACCTTCAATAGAATCAATCGTTTCAGCCCTGGAAATGCCATTTTCTAAAGGTAAAAGGTAGCTTGAAAACTGAAAACTA